GGGAAGGAATTATCCCTCTTCTTTATGAAGAAAAAAACGCTTTCTTTACGTTTCTGTTCATAATCTGTGTTACTGTAGAGAACATATATCATAGCGGCGATACATACACTGGTGCGTCCTCGTCATCAGTCTTCATGCCCCAGTTATGATACGGGTCAACCCAGATTGGGTTTGATCTGAAATTTAACCATAACGTCAGGGACTGGTCATGATATATCCCCAACAAAAAGGGGGGGGGGGAGAGGGGGGGAGGTGGAGGACTTGTTTGAGTCATAATAACTTTTACCTGATTCCCTTCTAAGGTTCTGTAAAATTCTAACAATTCTGCTGTGTTGGCGGTCAGTCCCCCTTTAATACTCTGTTTAGCAAGAACTAATCCTCCCTCTGGGTGATTTCATGAGTTTTTTTGTTCAGCGGTGCAATTTAAACCACACTTTGTGACTAAAGTTTTTTTTGCATGATCTCAGAGTCTTTCCTGGGCAAGGTACTTGAACGGAAAATGGACTGACTAGATCCGGAAAGCTTCAAGAGGGTTTTAAACTTACCCCTCAGAGATGTGCATATTCGACGTAGGAATAGCTGATACTGTTCCATTGTTGACAGAGCGTGATCCTGTTCAGGAATGAAACAAAGATTGTTTGCTCTTTATGGTAGAAGATTATGACATCGCATGTCTCAGTCTTGGTTTTATCGAAAAAAACAAACGTAAAGGGGAACAGAAGTTCTCAATTGTGACTATTTTACGTCAATGTAAACGCTTAGTGTGTTTTTCTAGGATTGAAAACTGCCATAAGACTTGGCAAAAGAGTGTGTTTCAGGCAACACAAAAGAGATAGGATAACTTTTGAAAGCTAGGGAACCCTAAATCCAAGAAGAAAACGAAACCAGAGCACTAACCTCCATAACTAACTGCAGTCGCCGCCCTTAATTTTCTATTTTGCCTAAAATTTAAAAACATTTAAGAAAAATGTTAATACTTCAATTCTATTTCGATGCATGAGGATCTGTATTTATATGACATGACAGCTATTTTAGGCCCTAAACTGAATTTTGCTCTCCTTCCATTTTTGTAAAGCTTCGTATACTAACTTCAATGTTTCGCAAGAAGAAGAGGCTGACTGCCTAAAGTAACATCCACTTAGACATCATTCAAATATCAATCTTTTACGTGCTGAGTTATTCAATAAGCTTCTCCCATTTCTTCAATTCTAATACCAAAACTTAAACCTTTTCACAAATTTAGTTTCAAGTTTCGTGATAGCGATAAGATTTAATCTTAGAATATAATCTTAAATTTTCACTCCCTACCTAATAAAATGTTTTCTAGTATTGAATTCGTATGTGATAGTTATGATTTTCTATCAGAGTTATATCCCGAATCCTGTAATCTGATTGGCTACGGTACTCGTTGTTTATTTCGTAATATACAGATAATGAGTACAGTGAGTAACATGTGGTGTGATTCATCTGAATCATAAAATTATAACAGACATGAGTCTGTGTTATTGTTGTTTTGGTCGGCTAGTAGATTTACACTTAAAAAAATAGATTATTTGCTTTCGATACCTATGTGTTATAACTCATTAGCGTTTCGCCCTCATCAACTAACACGCGATAGAAATCTCTCGTTCAAATTTAGTTATTACTGAGAATACGCATTCAATCGCCCGCGAGAAATTTCTGATCGTGAGCTAGAGAGACTAGGTCGAGTACATCTGATCGAGGCTAAGTGGTGAGCTTTTTCGGGCCAGATATTTACTATATTAGCGCGCAAAGTAATCTCTCCTTGTTTGTCTTAATCATGGTGTTTGTTTTGATTTTGGTTTTTTTTTTTTACTATCATTAAAAGCTAAAATGAAAAACGCATCGAACTTGGGTACATTAAAGCTAATTGATGTCAAAAGAAGATTAAGACACATTTGATACCTCCTCCTGAGCTGGAAAACCACACAGCAAAATATCAGAATAACTATGAAAAGGAGAATTCCAAGACTAATGACCACAGCAAGCACTACGGGAAATTCGTCATCTTTCTGGTCGTCGACGTGAGCCTGGCGATCAATGCAAACATACAAATTATATTTTCTAGAGTGCTTAATTACTGGTCAAATTTATTTCATGGTGATTAAAAACGGTGAAATTTTACAATGCTGTGCTTAAAGGACAGGCATGTTCCAAAAACCACATATTTGTTCTCGAATCCTCCCGTGTTTTGAGAGATATGGCTATGGATGACGCCATTTTGTCGGGATACAGCTTGGAATCCCGACCGCTCACTTGTGACGTCACAGACTGTCACACAAGCCATATCTTCAAATTTTCTGTACCAAATCATACAGGGCTTATAGCTCGTGTAAGGGAAAATAACTTCTAGCATATTTAACTGCTTGCTTGTCAACTGACGTTGGTTTACGTTGCTGTTGAACAGGCAACCAACATAACCTTGCATACCTTTACTTCTTTTATTTTCCATTCATTGAAGAATCCAAGATGCTTATCGTAATTGTTGTCTATTTTGCTACGAGGAAAGAGATGAAAAGAAATAAATGAAATCCACCGGGTTCATTTTAAAAGACAGAAACAACAGCTTAATGAGTTGTTTTCTTACTCTATTACGATTTCTTTGTCAACAACTTTGTTAGTTTTGGGATCCACAGCATGGAAGAGAACCGCTGTCCTAAGTGAATAAAAAAGAAGGAGTGAGTTTGAAATAATCTTACTTAGAAACGTCCACGAGAATGAAAGTCTTAGGGTTAATTTAATTATTGATGTATTTGTTATTTGCAATATCTAGACAGGCTGGCTCAGTTTCGACTTAAAGCAGTAGTAGTTGGCGAGAGGGAGGTAGTCCATGTTGCATAAGGTCACCAGTAAAAGCTGATGAACCCTTTTGATGGAAGGCGAGCACTCCTAACAATGCGCCAATCCTGTTCCTCTTATCGATATTTAGCAAAAAGAAGCTTTTTAAATCATCTTAAGTGTCCAAATGTTTGACTTAAGGGGTGCACTTACCTTAAATATTGACTTACCTTTCATAATCGTAATTTCCATCTTTATCTTTGTAATAGTTTATGTCATCTATGTTTATAATGTAACCGGTGATATTCTCTAGTACCCTAAGAGAACACAGCACAACAAAGAGGAAAATAAGTCTGACTGCTAAGTAAATACACAGAACAAAAACAAAACAAGATTTTCTTCACTTCGTTTTGTTTGTCAAAAAATATCTAAAATGTTAAACGTTTTGGAATGTGATGCTTTGAATCGATTGGCAGCTATCTATAGCATATTGATTTGCTACCAGAATAATTCTCAAATCTATAACATCTCTGTGCTTAATTAAATTACATCAGTCTTATTTCTTGTACCTTTTTAGGTCTGCTTGATGTTTTCGAATATATTCAGGAGAGCGTCCAGATATTATCACAGCTCGTTGAATATCCGTGAGTACATAAATCTAAAATGCAGAGAGAGAACATCATTCAATTCTTTAAACTACGCAACCTGAGCTGTTTGGTGTGGAAAACCCGCGCCACTTTCTCAAACTCGACTTTATCCTCGCGTTTTCCCGCCGTTAGAGAAGTTTTCAGGTATTTATTTTGACATCTCAGTTGATAACCTACTGTGTATTACTATTTTTGGTCCTGCGACACTTAATCGAAAAATGCTTCAAAGATTAACTTGCCTTGACTTCAGCAGTGTCGTTGAAATACGGCTCTTCGCCAAATCTGTCCTTGGCAATGACGTTAACAACAAACTGGGCCCCAAACTTCCCTGCGTATGACGCCTTTGCTTTAATCCAGCCAGTTTCTCGATCCATACTGAATTCTTCGCTATCCTTAGTTTGTAGAAGCTCGTACGATATACGGCTATTGTTTCCTTCGTCAGAGTCTACGGCCTGAGAATTCAGACAATAATCAACGGAAAAAAATTGAGTTTTTCTTATTGCACCGATAGTCTCGCAAAGGAAACGCGATTTTAAAACTGATTCTCCCCCCACGACGAGGTTAACGTAACCTCCTTGATAAACTAAGCAAACTATCAAAATGAAAGCAGCTGGGACGTACTGGCATTATATACTATAGTATTATACCGTGGCTCTGTTCCAGCTAAATCCGAATTTATAAATCGATGATTGGAAACATCAAGTTGTGCTGAACATAACAATCCTCCCTGACGTTTTCAGCGACAAACTAGAGCGAACTTTCTACTAGAGGTAGAAAAGTTGCAATGCCTGGGCAATTAAAAGAAATAACTTACAAAGACTTGTATGATGTTGCTTCCATGTTTTGCATCTTCAGAAACTCCTAAAACCGAAACGACAAAGAGCAAGGTTACAAAGGTATAAATTTGTTTTGCGAGACATGAACGCCGAAGGCAAAAGTACGAAAGCCGAGGAGTCGGGAGTCAGAAGTCGCAAGTCGAACGAAAGTTGAAAGTTGAAAGTCGAAAGTCGAAAGTCGAAAGTCGAAAGTCGAAAGTCGAAAGTCGAAAGTCGGAAGTCATTAGAAAAGAGTCGAAAGTTGAAAGTCGGAAGTCTCTCCTCGGCTTTCGTACAAAAGTATTATTTTTCTCTAAATCTAACACAATGTTAAATTTTACCTCCGGTGTAAAGCTTCTTTGTAAAGCGAGGACCATTATCGTTTTGATCCGCGATTTCCACAATCACCAGCTGTACGCCAAGATCATCTGTGTAAATAACATTACATATTGAGAAATATAAAAAAGTTAAAAGTAAATAACCAATCAGAAGAAATGGTTAAACTTAATTACCTGGCAATGGCGCTTGAGTCGTGTTAGTTTGATTTGAACCTGCATCCGGGGCCGCTCTTCTATTCCTCGGCTGAAGGGAGACTGGATCGAGCTGAAAGCGGTAAGGGACGACACCACTAAATTAAGATTATCATGCAAGGTTTACCAACTCCGAAAAATTTCGGTGTGTAGTGATCATTATTGTTGTGAACGAACCTTAACATTCGATGATTTTATGTACAGGAAGAACTGCGCGCTATCCTCCCGATCCTGTCAAGAACAAACTTAGATGTGAGCATGTTTTGTACTTTGTAACCTGCTAATCAGCTTCAGTGATAAATTTAAATGCTCGAGTTAAAAATTGATATTTTACAATATCATATATTTCAACAGCACTCACGGCTTGTCGAGTTGTGCGCAATACTCCAGTCGTCTCATTTAGCGTGAACATGGCTCCGCTATTTCCACCTGTAAAGATTAACATGGTGATAAAGAGTAAATAAACATATAAATAAATAAACAAATAAATGAACTATTATGCATCATAACTTTGCCTTCCAGGATGCAGGAAGACAACTATTTAATAATCTCATTTCTTAATATGTATACAGTAAGACACACAGAAATTACTCATTGGATTGGAGAATAGATTTATGCAAATAAACTTTAATTTCATGTACTTTGTATGTAGTAATATATGGGTCCAGCCTGATCTGCATCGAAAGCTGCTATCGTTCCAACTTCAGCTCCTGCTGGGAGGTTTTCGCCAACTGATAACGTGACTTGACGCTTAAGATGAACAAAACAAACAGTTGTTTTAAGAAGATTTTAAACAATTAAAACAACAAGTCAAATTTCCCTATTAAAGATCTTTTTTTTAATGCAAATCTGAAAGGCTTCAGATTCAAAACAAATCCTAGTTTTAAACCTGTTCTTTTATTTTAAAAATGATGGCACTTGAAAAATAATCGCTGCCTAGCTTACTTAAATACAAAATCATACTGTCAATAATTTGACCGCGTAGACATTGAATTACATAAGTATTTAAAAAAAGAAAAAAAAAAAAAAAGGAAATGAAAAGAAATGAAAAGCAATCCCTAAAAGACTGATAAATTCAGATCACTCAAAACTAACGCAATTCTATATCAAGCATGATTCCATACCTTGACAAACACGGGAATGTTATCGTCAATATTCACTAACTCAATGGTTATGGTTTCTTCGCTTGATAATGGAGGACTTCCAAGATCTTGAGCTTTAATTGTGAGCTGAAGTAGAAACGTTGAAAGTTAAGACAGCTCTTCCCTAAAATTCTCTCTTCCGTTTTTATTATAATTATTATTCTTGTTACTAGTTTGCATGTATTTGCAGCTAAATGAATGATGATGACAAGTTGGAGATGGTACGGGTGATAGTGATAATGACCTCGACGTTATTTTCCATCTTACCGCGTCTTCTGACTGTTACTGCATAAGCACTGCCATGATCTGGCTCCAATTAAACCAGTTTCGACAAATTTCATATTATTTCAGCGAGGATCTGGTATAACACATGCAATCTCCTTTGGCCTTAAAAGATTTCTTATTCTTAGGAAAAAAAACTCAAGACTAACAGAATTTGGTTGAACATAAATTATAGTGCATCCTTACCTTGTAGGATTTCGGTTCTTGATCATAATCAAGACTCTTTGCTGTTCGCAGTTCGCCGTTAGTTTCATTCAGTGTGAACCTCTCGTCATCGTTCCCACTTATGATGGTGAACTTGACCTGCGCATTGACATCTTCGTCTCTGTCCGTTGCATTGATTGTTGTGATCAGTTTACCAACTGTTGCATTCTGTAGAGATAAGATTTGCTTTATCTGTCACATTCATTAAGAGAAAGAGTTTTGGCTGGCTAGTCATTGCATTGAATCAGTTCGTCATTATAGTGGTCTGTCTCTCGGTTAAACAGACAGATAGATGATCAGTTGGGTGGTCATGAGTTAGTTGCTGCGGTTTCTGTAGGAAAACGAGACTACGAGTGCCCTAGTACCTACAGATAGGATTCTTCGATAGGTTAACAAACCGGATAAGGATAGGTCAGCTTTCGATTCAGAAGAGCTATCCTGTCTGAGCTTGGACCCAGTGTCTGTAGCGTGAAGGAATTCAGAGTATTTGGCTTCCGTCTGTAAGCAAAACTAGTTTTACGCAGGGTTTAAGCCCTGCTCTCTCTCTCATACTCAAAGCAGCTTACGTCCTGCGAGGAGGCTTTAACAATTCACCGTACGTTCTTAGAATCTGTAACGTTAGTTTGCCCTTCTAGAACAAATTACGCACCTTCACCACACAGCTAGAAACTAGAAACGGAAATATCTTTCCCATTGCGTATTATATCTGGGCTATTGCCTCGGTGTTTGAAAAGTGATGAGAACCGTCTCTCGCGTTTCTTACACTGCATAAAAAACGACGTTTAAATATACCTCAAGCACAGAGAAAACGGCTTGTGTATGAATCGCGGGAATGTGGTCATTGACGTCAACGATGGTGATATTTATCGTGGTTTGGTTCATAAGCGGAGGCTGTCCTTGATCGGCGGCTGTCACCAAAAGACTATAGAAGTCTCTTACTTCTCGATCAAGCGCCTTGGCCTTCAGCAACTCGCCGGTAGCATTATTTAACGTAAAGACTCCTAACAAAGAAAAAAAAAGTTGCCATTAAGATTCAATTACTTCGTGTGTGGATAATCTTGAATAGAAAAATTTTCTTATTTCAAGTCAGATTCATACTGCCATAAAGCACTTGCGTTAACATTGCGTTAAATTCATCAAAATTTTCCTTGGCCGTATTCCTCTGTACGGCTCGCTAATAAAGTTCGTTTGAATAGAAATCTTCTCCTTCTATCTGAACCCAGAGATATAATAAATATCTGACTAATTCCGTTTTCTCAGTCCGTCCATTAAGTTAGAGAGCCTCGTTTTTCTGCTCGGATTCTTGGCCCGGGCGCGTCGCACATGGGCCATAAATCCCAGTTAAGTTATTCGGTCCGTAACTAACTGCACGTACTTCGAACTCGGTTAGTTTGAGGTTTATACACTAATATCATCATAAAATACTTAAATGAAAACTCCACTGTTTCAAAAACCTTCTTCGTTTCCTTTAGTAATACTGTAAAGTATTTTCGCGTTGTCGCCCACGTCATCGTCTTTTGCGGAGACCGTTAGGATTCTCCTGTCATCTGATGGCCCCAGTCCCTTGGTGTCCTCTCGCACTGACTTGAGGTAGGACTTTTTCTCAAACTTTGGAGTGACGTCATTGACATCGAGAATCGTGACAACCAACTGGCAATGAAAAGTACAAATGCAATGTGAGAGGAAATTATAATAAAACATTGAGAGTGGACATATAAGGCTAAGTTCTTGTTAAGGAATAATGTGTGACCAGCAAACTTCATAATGTATATACTACGTTAAGAAAAGATGACATAAAGTTGACTTTGAATTTCCAATAAAAATCCTATATCTAAGGAAATCTTGTTCCTCAATTACTCGCAGTTCACTTCCGTCTGGAAAATTTTCCCCGAAGGATTTTGAAATAACCTCTTTAGTTTCGTCAATTTTGGTCACATCGATAGCTCAGATAATGCAGATAAAGAATTCGTTAAGTTAATTTTTTCATTATAAAGATAATCACGACATGATAGGATTGGCTGCGAAGAAATATTGTTCATGACTCTGCGTTCAAAAAGTAAACAAAAAACGTAGAAATAAAGCTGTTTGTACTCACAAGGACTGTTGATTTTTGCTCTGTGTTGTTTACTCTGCTGATGGCAGCCAAAGTTAGAGTGTATGATGAGACTTTCTCGCGATCAAGACCATCTCCTGTCCAATTCAGGAACACGGTGCCATTTAACTCGCCGATCACAAAGTTTCTCTGTTCATTTCCTCCTTCGATCTGGTAAAGTATGGTCTTGTGCGCTTCGTCAGCATCAATATCTGAGGCGTTCACTTGTGCGACAAATGTGCCTGCGGTGGCATTTTCTAATATGCTTGCGGTGTATCCATTCTTGTGGAAGACAGGCGCATTGTCATCTACGTCACTAACGGTTACAAGGAGATTAGTGTAACCAGAAAGGGCAGGGATACCCAAGTCTCGTGCCGCGATGGTAATGTTGTAGAAGGCCTTGGTTTCGTGGTCAAGCTTTTGTCTCAAGGTAATGACACCAGTAATGGCTGCAAAAATGAGACAAAAATATAGCGTTTTATCGTTAATAAACGTTTTGCAATTTTCCATCATTTTTCGAAGCAGTATTTGTAGCTGCTGTCTTTGTTCGGACGCTCATAGTACGCAAGCCCATACCACACGTGAACCAAGTTTTGTTGAAATATTGTGCTCCTTTCTCGTAATGCCGAGTTGTATTTCGTGTGGTGCGTTGTTTTCGTTACCAACACTCACAGGATAAGAAGGGGAGATCCCCTCGGTGTTCTCTGGAGCTCAGAGACTAGGCATATAACCAGAGAATCTGAATTTCTGAGGCTCGAATTCTAATGAAGCACACAAATATTTATTTGTTCCAATGGGCTTGTCATGAAAAACGTCATTCGAGTTCTGAGAAAAGCATTCATACCGTTTATTGCAAATTGGTCGTCAGGGTCTCCGCTCTCAATACTGTATCGGAACTGACCGTTTCCTCCCTCATCGAGATCCGAAGCAGAAACAGTTTCCACCTAACATAACAGACACATAACAAGTTAGTTTTCGGCGATGGCATCAAATGATTTCAATAGAATGTTTCAATTTTTTTATCAAACAGGATGAACAGGTTTGACTCTCGCCATGCATTATTTAGTATTCAAAGCCAAATATTTGAGTGTTACACATTTGACTTTGAATTTCAAATTCGTTCTATTTCGTCAGTAAACGTAGAAATAACCATTGTATTTCGCAATTAAAACTCATTGCTTTATAATGCAACGGATTGTTCCTTCTTTCTGTTTGCACTTGTATATGGGTGTACCGGCAAATAACCATTTTTTTCCCAGGGCACTGGCTAACTCCACTGATTTATAATCTCTTAGGGCTACGTCGTAGTTTTGAATTAGTTTTAAGGGAAAATGTTAACAACCCTTAACCTTTTAACTCCCAAGATCTCATTATTAATTCTTCTTTCTGACTGCTGTACTACTCTTATGATTTTAGTTCTGAGAATTTATTACTGGATCAACTGATAATCCCCTGATTGATATTTCTCTTTATTCTCATCACTTGTCTGTTTGATATTGTATTGATATTGTAGGGAGAAATTCTGTTTTGGTCACTCATGGGAATTAAAAAGTCAAGGCACTCACTTCTGTCTTTGTAAATGTACTTTCTGGTAGAGTGACATTGTAAAAGGCTTGTTGGAACTTCGGAGCGTTATCATTAACGTCATTTATCACGACTTGAACGGTTACGTTGCTCTCTAGAGAAGGACTTCCTTTGTCTCGAGCCTGGAATGAATATTTGAAATAAAACGAATAAAGGAAAATATGATATAACAGAGAAATTCAATTAATTTATGGACACACCAGAAGGAGATGAAAAAATAGTCATTGCGTTGGACTAAGTTCTTCTTACAATGATAATAAATGTGACGGAGCTGTTTTTCTCCCTGTCCAGTTTGGCCGCGGTCATGATCCTGCCCGTTGTGTCATTTATCATGAAGAGTTCACCTTGAAAAAACAAAACAAAAAGAAATTCTCAAACAACTTAACTTTATTACCTCGAACGGCAGCTGACAATGCGACAATAACCAAGTTGTGATACTTCTGTTCCAAAAGAAGCAGCGAAGCCAACCTTAATTCCATCTACTTACTGGGCTTTCAAGCTACGGTACAATGTACTTCCCAGAATATCTTCCTAATTAACTCCCCACCAACCTCTAAGCTTGTTACTTCCTTACTTCTTATCCCACTACTTTCAGGTTATCTACCTTTCCGCCAGCACACCTTTCCACCTTCACACCTACCCCAGACTACCTACCTTACCATCTACAAGTCCTTGTTCATATCTTCATCTGTCTAATGGCTACCAAAGTTCTGTCAGCAATCGCACCTACCAACCTAAGTTCATATTACCCACCCTCACCGCATCAAGGGTAAACATTCTCCATCTTACTTACTTACCGACCACGTACCTCTTTACCTGGTTACCTTCCCACCTGCCTAACTAACTAACTACAAGTTACCAACCCGCCTAATCACTTTTATATCTTCACTTCTCTTACACCTTCAGGTTGCCTACATATATACTATATCAAACTGTTAACCTTTTGTCATAGTTACCTGCATACCTACTGTGCGCTTACAGATCTCATGAATGTGAAACCTGCTGTCTTTCAAAATAACATACAATCCTACTCTTTCTTGTATATCGCGACATTGTACTTGCTTTCATGCCATCAGTCCTAATTACAATCACTTTGTCGCTTACTTCCATTCTCCATCTTTGTGAAATAATTTATCACTGCATTTGACCCCTCATCATCATCTGAAGCAGACACCAAACCAACAGCGTGGCCAACATCGACATCTTCAGAAACTTCGAAGAGGTAATTTGACTGCGAGAATACCGGTGTGTTATCGTTATCGTCCAGTACTGTCACAATGACCTACAAGAAGAATCAGTTGTAAAGTAAGATGTACTGAATGATTGAGCCGATGATAGCCTAAGTGTCGAGAGTTTTGAAAATTAATCATAAGCTAGTTCTACGCACAAGCTGGATGATTCACAAAGTCTTGTGTCATCCTCTTTCTTGAAGATTGAAGAAAATTACAGAAACGTGCTATTTCATCTAAGATACCCGAATGCAGCTAGCCGAACCCAAATCCGAGCTCGCACCGGTGCCCGAGCTCAAGCTCAGGCCTGAGGCCGCATGCACAGATCAGCCCCAGTAGCAAAATTATGTAGGTAAAAACTGGAATAGAAACAAAAACAGATTTGTGCTAACCTGTGTGGTTCCTTCTCGACTTCTTATAGCGTCGTCTGCTGCAAGCACAGTCAACGTATATGAATCAGCACCAGCTTGCTCTCGGTCCAAACGAACCGCTGTCGTAATATTTCCCTAAAGAAAACATTCAAATGAGATATGAATGATTTTCGTTTTACGTTATGTAAAGGCTATTTCTGCACCAACTTGACCACTTGACCAGATGAGTAATGAAATTGAGAGAAGTGACTGGTTACGCACGAGTATTATCAATCTTAGACAATTTTCCACCGTGCCTCGAAAAGCAGCAACGAGGCACGATTCGATCGCAAACATGTAATAAGACAATTTGTTGATAGGTTTTTAAACTTTCATTTCGTCTTTGTGCTTTCTTAATGGAGGAAAAATAACTTTATCAACAGAGAAGTTCAACAGATCTACATAAACATTGAAATTGATTTGCAAATGTCTAACCTCCTACAATCCAACAAAAGATCGAAACTTTTTAACTTACAGTGTCTTGGTCGATGTTAAAACGGAAATTTCCTCCGCGAAGTCCATAAGACAGTCTAGCATTAGTTCCCACATCCTTGTCTGTTGCAGTGACAACCAGGAGCGATGTACCTATTGGTTGGTTTTCCATGACGTAGGCTTGATAGACAGTCTGGTTAAAAGTAGGACTGTTGTCATTGATGTCGACTAATGTTAAAGATACCTCCACCTCAGACGAGAGCGCTGGAGAACCAAGATCCGTCGCTCGAACGGTGAAGTTGAAGTATGGCGACATTTCCCGATCGAGTTCCTTATCAGCCTGGGAGATAAATCCAGTAACTGGATCAACTGAAACGTAATTTGTAGCATTGCTAACAATGCTGAATCTTATTTCGGCATTCACGCCCACATCCGCATCTTCAGCTGAGACGGTCAAAATACTGGTGTCCTTTGGAGACTCTTCGCGGTAATCTTCGATATAAAAGGACTTTGTAAAGACTGGCGGGTGGTCATTAACATCGTCAACTTTGATCACGATTTTCACTTTGTCCGATGTCAGGTTTACACTGTCCGTTGCTTGCACATAAATGACGTGTTCGGTCATATTTTCCCTGTCCAGGTCTTTGGCAGTTGTTATCACACCAGTGTCTTGGTCTATACTGAAATATCCACTGGAATCGCTCTTTACGAGTGAGTAAGTGTGACTGTCGTCTATATCTCTGTCTTGAGCTTTAAGTTTGGTAACATTCGTTCCAACTGAGGCATTCTCTGAGATATGATATGTCAACATATCGCTGTCGAAGAAAGGTTTTTCATCAATGACGTCAGTGACAGTTATGTTCACTTGACACGCGCCTTCCTTTGAATTTTGTCCAATGTTAGAGGCTGTCACATGAAGTACATAATAGCTTTTGAATTCCCGGTCGAGGCTAGAGTCCACGATGATATCACCTGTAAAAGAGAAGGAGCTTATTACCTATTCTGAATCTAAACTTTCAGTTACAAAGTTAATTTTTAGATGAAAGATCATGAGAGTTTCCAAGGAAAAAGATATTCTCTTAAAAGGAGATTACAACAGAGCTCGAGATGGGCTTCTTTACGACTCACTGAGTTTTCATCAAGAGTTAAGCGAGGACTGAGCATGAAATTTACCCTTTTACAGACCTGTTGCTCTGTTGATGTAAAACTTCGCATCAGCTCCTGTCGACGTGTAAGTAATCTCTTTATTCAAGATCAGAAAGTCAAGATCTGTGGCTGTTACCCTCCTGACCGTTGTACCACGTGCAGCATCCTCGGATATGTTTGCATAATACACTTGCTGGCTAAACCGGGGGCGTTCATCGTTGACGTCAGTTATTTTGACCAATAAGGGAACAGAAGTGGTTTGGTTGCTTCCATCTGAGGCAGTCAGCGTCATATGGTAAGTGTCGTTCCTCTCTCTGTCGAGAGAGTTGTTGTAGCGTGTAATAATAATTGCTGTTGTTGCGTTGATCAGGAAATTCTCTGATCCAGGACCTGGTGGAAACAAAAAAAATGTTTCTGGTTCATAGCCTCAGCTACAATTTGATAGTAATTGCAGGAAGAGTGAACTTTCAGGACCGAGAAAAAAAAAATTCAGCCGTCTCACCATGGAGAGAAAATGACACGATAGCGTTGGCTCCCTCGTCCGCATCTGTAGCTCCTATTTCGATGGTCTGAAATAAATTTGACAGTTGTTTCAAAGTATATTTGAATGAAAACATGAGACTGTTAATAACTCATGACAGAAAATGGGATGAGCTATGGCAGATATGATATTCATCCCGCACACAGACCTTATTTTTAGCAGTGGTTCAATGGTAGCTTATCTCTCACCTACGTTTCGAACATAATTAATTGTTTCCTTTCCCCGGCATAAAACGGGCTTGCAAATTAAATTATTGTTTGTAATGTAGAGAGAGGTTCAGTTGTGGTGTCGGAGGTGTATTTTGTACTTACTGGCACAACGGTTTTTCCCGCTTCCGAGTTCTCCTCAATGGATGCTTCGTAAGAACTCTCCTTGAACAGGGGGGGACTGTCGTTTTCATCAAGGACTGTGATGACAAGGTCTGCAAAAGCCTGCCACGAGAGAAAAAACAGTGGATCGTACGGAGCGCTACGTTTTGACACAGCACAATGGGAAAACTGAACCCACATGCAATGACAGAGGAGTCGGAAATCGAGCGTGAACGGTGTTAAGCGAGCGCTATTACCTCCGCGTAATTCCTTTCCCATCCCCGTGAACTTACCTTCCTGCTGGAGGGATGGCCAGCATCTTCAGCCTGTATGCTTAGAGTATACTCCTTCATCTTTTCCCTGTCTATGGACCCCTTTACAGTGACCACTCCAGTTTTATTATTAACTGCAAATGCCTCCCCAGTATTGCCACTGGTGATCTTATATGACACTCGACCATTGGCATCTTGGTCTTCGTCTGTTGCGTACACTTTTGCAACAAGCGTGCTCACGTTGGAGTTTTCTAACACGCGACCATGATAGGTGGACTGGTTGAAAACTGGATCGTTGTCGTTCACATCGTCTACAACAATAGACACAACCGTCTAGAAAAAAAAAAAAACTCGTCACTAGAATAACCTGAGATAAAACAAAAGAGCGTGGGAGCAATTTGATTTTCCACCGAAAAAGCTACTGTAGGTTTACATTAGGTTCCTCTGCGAGATAAGGGTATTAGGTAGGTTCATGTGCTATTCGAGTGATTTGTCACGAAGATGTTGACTCTCTGCCATCGCTGGCGTTCTTTGTTAAGGCATTCGCTCTCCCATAGCTCAACACAAACCAGCCGCTGAAAAGACTAAGACAGCTTTAATTGGACCATTTTAAAAGTAACAATTTTCCATCTCTAGGAGCTGGGTTGAAGAGATGCACTAACTTTATTGGATCTCTTTGGTTGGCCTTCGTCTTTTGCTTCAATAGTCAGGTTATACAAGGATTTTACTTCAGCATCCAGCGATCTCTTGACAAGAATGTATCCGCCTGGCGTTATTTCAAAATTTCCTAAAAGAGTAGAAGAAAAGATCTTCGATAACACTGCTTAACCTCTATTTTTCATCAATTTCACACCTGAGTCAGACTTGCATTTAAATGTAAACATTTACAAGTGGAAATCACAGCAAAATCGGTGCACTGAAAAATTGGTGCCCCATCAAGGTCTTGTCATTAAATGTTACATATTCTATCAGCATACCATTGCTATTTCCTTCAGTAATATTATAAAAAACTTTGCTAGCAAATCCTAAATCTTTGTCCACTGCGGGGACCTGTATCACGTTACTTCCCGGCCGAGCAGCCTCGCTGATGCTGGTGGACTGGGGTGGATCAACGAATTGAGGAGTGTTGTCGTTAATGTCATTGACTATTATGGTGACCTGTAGGATTGGCGAAACAAGAATAAATGGTTAAAAGAATAAGTCTCTTCTACATGAAGTAGGTGGTAGATTAAAGATCATTTTTTAACATTCTTGATTTTGTACATCCTTTATCATGAATTCCCTTTTGCGGAGACAATGAGCACAAGACTAATGTATCATTCATATATGTTTTAACTGTCATATCTTTTTTCAGACAATAAAAGGATGTAAATTTATTTCTTACCCTCACGGTAGAACTTTTTCGAGTATTTTCAGGCTCGGCTTGGTCCGTAGCTGTAATATCGAGAGAAAACACTCCTCTCTCTTGTGCATCTAAGGTCATCTCCGAGTTTTCTCGATCCAGGACTTTACGGACATATAAAACTCCCTAAAGAAATGTTGCGAAAGTCATTTAGTATTCAACAGTACACGCCACATTGTTAATCAATCAATCAGTTAATTATTCGTTGAGAAACTGAATAGTTAAAAAACTTATCGAATAGTAACACAAAGAATCAAAATTCATCAAAGGATTAAAACCTTAAATACCAGTTTCAAAAAATATGACCACGGAAGGAAAACAGGCTGCATTTTTAAGACAACGTTGGTATCGGGTTCTTTCTTGTATTATTGAATTATCCTTTTTTCACCTAATTCGTTTTTTCACAAATGTTCTTAACCTTACCGTCGATGAGTTTAGATGGAAATACCCATGCTGATCCCCAGAAAGGGTGTATACAATCTTGGAATTTGTTCCGTCGTCTTTGTCTGTAGCGTTAACATCGATGATGGCTCTATTGATGCTATCTGGTCCTTCATCAATAACTCTGATGTAGGTTGAGAGTGAGCCTGAAGGACTGGGAACAAACTCCGGAGAGTTGTCATTAATGTCCAGTATCTTAATGTGTAGCATAGAGTAGCCCTGCAATCAATGCAAAGTTTATGAGATAAATTATGGTCAATTTTCCAGAGAGCTTCCCTAACCATGCTTCGTACTGTGTATTTTCTTTTTTAATAGACCTAACTTACCCACAACACTGGAATTCCTCCGTCAGTAACTTTTATTGTCAGGTTGTAGCTGGAATGAAGCTCTCTGTCAAGGCCTGTTGGAGATATTTGCAGCACCCCTGTGTTACTGTTCAGGATGAATTCTCCATTTTGGCCCGCAGAAATGGCGTATGTTAACTTCTTGTTTCTGCCTTCATCTTGGTCGGAAGCTCGGAAAGTGTAAACTATAGTTCCTCCACCTTTACCCTGCAAAATGTAACGAAATAAAATGACATACACAGAATTTAGTACTGGCAAATGCTCTGCAGTGACTATTCATCCTCTGTTTCTGGGCCAAATTTTAGTTTGGAGAGCACAGCAGGAACCAGACTTCCTTGAGAAAAAATATTTTGAGCTTCTAGGTCTAGAATCAAAACAAATTCAATCCATATGCGAGGCCAAGTCCGAATAGTGAGTCCGTACCACCTAGGTAGAAGGAGGAGAACGCTCTCGACACGGGATTGTTTATCATTTACCAACTCAATTTTGATGAGGCATGTAATTGAAAAGAGTCCACCATCTCAAAGGCAAAAAAAAATAAAAACCACACAAAGGCCTGAAGAGTTTTAATCGCTCTTGATTCACTTAACATCGTAGACCTACCTCGCTAACGTTTGCTGTGAGATATGGTCCATCAAAGATCACTGGTGGGTTGTCATTTATATCAAGGACTGTAACAGCTAAAATAGTTGTCGTATTTGTAGATGGATCGCCATGATCGTAAGCCATGATCTGATACAAAAAAAGAAAAACATATCGATTCAATGATCTAACCTGTTGGTAAATTAAATAGGAATGATTTGATTTCTGGTGTTGACTGAAAATCGATTCATCATTTTTGGGCTTAGTTTGTGCTTACGACAATCCTTGATTCATAGAACTTTGTTTACGTTTGAACAGGACGACCCAGGGTTTCATACGCTGCGAATAAAACAAGCCTCTTTCCTCAAGAGCAGAGCTCTAGAGGGATCCACGAACTTTCTGCTACTTTGCATTTTGCTGCGTAACAGACAAAACATGAAATAAAGAAAGATCTTAGCAACATACCGTGAGCGAATACGAGGGAACTTTTTCCCGGTCTAGTTTCAGCGTAGTGGTAACCATTCCACTTTCATTTATTGCAAAGGCATTTCCACTATTGCCATCTGTTATGTTGAAGGAGATCTATACAGTCACATCGAAAGAAAAGCATTGTATTACGACAATTATATTTCTCGCTAAAAAAATATATTAAGCTTGCTAATTGACAATTAGTCTTATCTTTGTTATAGAGATATCTTCTACCTGTCGGTAAAACAGTCCTTGACTGTAGTTTTACCCTGAGAGTTTCACCATCGCTATATTAGTTAATCCTTCTCCATTAATTTGATGAAACCATGACAACAGTAACTGAGGCTGTGATCGGTCGTAACCTATCAGAGAGAAATTCTCATGCGCCATATTGGTCTCTGATACCGAGATCTGATTGGTCCATTTCCCAATTCTATTATTTCAAGCTGCTTTCTGATCGGTTACGGACCCTTAGGAACCCATTCTACACTTACCCGATTTTATTTGGTGATACTAATTTGTTTACTTTAGTGGGCTTTCATCTTCGTTACAACTGAGCTCCATTTATAGCCAGCTTATGCTTCAAACTCGGAAAGCAATGAACATTAACATTAAACACTTTTAAACAAATATTTACCCGTGCATTTTCTCCGGAGTCTAAATCTGATGCTGAGACCTAACAAAATGAACAAAACACAACGTTATTTATCACCGTATTGAGCATTGTCCAAATCCGTGACCAATGCCTTCGTTCACCCTTGCCTTTCGATCCGTATATATTGAGATTTCCTGACGGTATCACTTTGGTCCTTCGCTTACTGTTAATCTCCCTTTATTTTCCGTGACACGGAGACTGGTAACTACATCCTCTGCAATTAACATGTTTTGTGACATTTCGAGTAAACTGGACCCGCGGGTATGATTTTTGATATTTCTAGGATTAAGGAGAGGCTTGAAGCGAAGCAGGTGTCCTTTAATAACGCGCCACATTAGGTTGTGCAAGACGGTTGTGACTCTTCTCCATAATAAGGAGCAAAAGTTATAATTTCTAAATAAATAGTACTGTTAAAGTGAAGGATGTTATTTCGATGCTGGCAAAAATTGCCCGCACCATTTTCAGTTTGAGATGCCAAATCGCTACAGTATCTGAGTTCCGTTTACCCGGTTAAAATTCTCGGAGGGTCTCATTTATTAACAGAAAGTTACTTACCTGATAAACAAAAAGATTTTCAGTTTGGTTTTCCATGATCTCCACAGCATATGGAGTCTTCAGAAACACAGGATCATTATCATTAACGTCTCTCAAGAAAACACGGATTGTAGTCACGTAAGTTTTGTCTTCCTCATAAAATCTTCCACCATCATTGGCGAGCAGGAAGAACATGAATTCTTTGTTCTGTTCGTAATCCAGTACTTTGCTCGCACGAATAGAACCATTTGAAGAGTCTACCGTGAAGCTGCATCAAGAAAAACAATATAATAATAATAATTAAAAGAGTCTGCATGCACTTGGAGAACATGTCTCAGACCGTCTTTGCGCTGTGGAGGTCTATCACAGGTTACCTAGAGTATTGAATTGCTGTCATTTCCAGTCGAGTCGCTTTCGCTAACTTCGGAGAAAACATAAATAAGCAAAGACATTTTACCGGTGCTTCTAACAGTTTGTGGGAAGAAAAACACTATGGGATTTCAGATATGTGCTTATAAACAAATCAAAGAGACCTCTGATAGAGGTTAAAGCCAGACAATACGATCAGAAGCTTAGCACAAACCACTAAGTCACTACATCTCCCACAGTTCTCAAATGATCATGCTCTTGTCAATGATCAGCAAGACTCTTTATAATTACTATTCAATATATCAAATATTACCTTGCTGCACCAGTGCCATACAACTCATATTTTATTTCTCCATAAGAACCAAGATCAGCATCTGTGGCCTAAGTTAAAATGAAAAGGATTGCATTGGAATCTCAGCACTCAATGTCACCGAATTTGGTAAAATAAGAGGCAGTGTACTGTACATATAGCAGTCAAGAAGTTCCATAATCCTGAAAATTTTGTAGTTTTGAGAAAACATCTTTTATCCCCAAGAGCTCTCCCGCCCTGATCATGACTTGAAATCGACTCACAGCCCCTGGGTTCCCGAGGATGTACGTTTCCTAGAATGTCACGATGTTTGACCATTCTCACACGTTTATTCCATCAATTTAGATCTATTTTTATCGCAACTCAATCCAATCGGTACAAATGCAATGGGTGATCCCATTCGCCAAAGTTCTAGCGGAAACGTGAACTGACTTCAACAAACATAAAACAAAACAGAAAGGAATAGCAAATACGCACCATAACTGTTCCGATCACGAAGCCTTCATGGATTTCCTCATCGTAAGTGAAGTTGTACGAACTTTGGTTGAACTTGGGCTCGTTATCATTTATGTTGATCAAATCAACTTCCACGATGGCAAAACCGGAAAGCCTCTCTTCACTTTCACTTTCGTTTGCAAATACCTTGAAACACAAACAAATAAAATTAATCATAGGCTTGAATCCCTCACATAGCTTACTGAAAACGAGAAATACCATCAAAGCCTGCTGCAACCGGTGGCATAAATGTTGAGACACCTTGAGCAAAAATTGCGTTTTCCAACTTCATCAGATAGTCAAGAAGTAATTTAGTGCAAAAAATCAAATGCTGCCCCCTTTCCCCGATTCACTGTTGTTCATCAAAGTTATGTAAGTGGTACTTCTCAGCTACCAACATTGTAAAGTGGAAGTAGGGGAATACATCATGTTAGATCACACGGTGAACAATTATCTCTTGTGATGCTAACATGTCGCAACTCATTTTGCGACTGGTTGTGGGCACACAAAAAGAAATTTCGAAAATCTATATGAATTAAAGCTGCAATTTATATTACCTTGAAAGAGAAGTTGGCCTTATGTTGCTCATAATCCAAGGTCGCATTAACTCTGAGGAGACCAGACGATTGGTCGATTGTGAAGTATTTGCTGTCCTCTCCTGATAAAGAATATTGGAAGCGGCGATTCTGAGGCTGAAAGAGACGTTAAATAATTAATCAGTAACAGTTGTGTCAAGAAGAACAGATGTTGTGAAACATGTAAAGGAAGAGAAAATCAAAATAATGCAAAGTTTTACTATCGTAGTAAATTCTCAAGCGTGGAACCATCCACAAAGCAAATACAGCATGTTAACTTGGCATTCCCCTCAGAATTTGCTTTTCTTAGTTTTTTTACTCTCCCTTACAATTTTATGATGTATCGTATTGATTATAAAGTTATTATATTTTCCTTTCCCCGCTCTGCCTAACGAACCCTATTAATGAGACACTCTTGCAGTATTTCTTACATAGATGTCTTTGTCTTGTACGTTCAACTGATTAGTTATTACGTATCCTGGTTGAGCCAGATCCTCTCGAATATTAAAGTCGTAACGATTCTGCAGAAACTGGGGCGAGTTGTCATTCGTGTCCAGCACTGTTACGAGTACTACGGCCGTGGAGTTGGAAGCTGGATCAACTACTTCAGATGCCTGTTAGGTTCAGGGAAATATACAGAAGTTAATCAGCATTACATCAATTCTAAGCTCTGTGACTAGTTGTGAAATTTTTCGTCTCTTACGTACTTTGCCTTGGAGCCGGCCATTTATGTTTACTTTTTGTTCTCATTAGCAATTTGTAATATTTTCCTTTATTCCGATTGGACTCTGTAACTACCCTAGTTATGCTTTTACGAAACGCTCAACTAAAAAGCGGGCTCTGCACTTTTTTCTTTCAAGAACTTCATTTGGGGTTTACTGGACATATGAAACTAATTCTTAAGATGAATCCATATTACTTTGACAGTTATTCTAAAGAAGTCAGTCTTTTCAACATCAATGGTGCCATTGACTGTAATATTTCCCGAACTCTTGTCAATATCAAACAGTCCTTTGTCATTTCCTGGTGGAAAGTAAAGAAAAAAAAAACAGGTGAATCAAAACGAGGCAAACGAATAATGAAACAGAAATTCATAGAATGGTGTGTGAGTTGATGAAAGAGTTAATGAATTATGAAGAGTGGCGGCTTCCGGGAAGGAAGTTGTTTGCTTACTTTTCTCTCAATTCAGATCACACTCGTTAAAAACAGGAAATAAAGCAGGGGTTCAGGGTCATTCCAATAAGTCTGTTAAATTTTATACAGTGCATTTTGCCGCTTTTCTCTCCTTAATTTGACAAATAAATAAACCTTGACTCTGCTCTGTTCTGTTGTAAAGCACGCAGGAAGTGGTTAGAGCATGGAAGAAGTGTAGGGAAAAAGTACGAGAAATTGTTGAGTGTTTCTTACTACCTCTTCATAAAGTAAGGTCAATCAGGGCGCTTGGCATGTCCTTTGTTTGGTTCTTCTATTGGTACTTAACAGCTCGCTCGTTCCGAAATTTCACTTACTATTTACGAAAAAAAGCTTGAGAGAAGTCCGGGAATAGTCGGACATAGTACAAATAAGCAGATGGCGTGACAGCTTTAGCTCAGCTCAGCTCCATTTTTAGTACTCTGATATAACACGCTCTTTCAACCAATGACAGCGCGCGTTATATCCGAAATTTATTATAATCTGGTATTATTACATTCCTCAAAAGTTTTACCCTATTGTTGGAGAATATTTACCATCTATGATCTCATATTCGACTGCATTTCCAACACCAGAGTCTCCATCGACTGCTTGAACATGAACAATCAAGGAGCCCTGGAAAGGAAAGAGATATCGTAGAAGTTCGTTTCAAGTCAGTTCCTACTGACGTAAAAGGTCAACGTCATCTACCACAGTGATTGCAAGCTCATGATCAAATACATTTGACGAATGTATGTTCCGTCCAAAGGTAGCATGAAAATACAGACGCAAGTGCATCAGTTGAAACACAGTGTACCTTTGGTTTGTTCTCTGGAATGGACTCGAGGTAAATAGGTCTCAGGAAACTAGGCGGGTTATCACTGACATCTGAAACATCAACGATGACCGTTGTCTTTGACTCCAGAGGAGGATCTCCGCCATCCTGGGGAAAGTAAAAGAAATCAAGAACTAAAAAGAGAAAAAGATGTGTTTCGTTAGTTCATCGCAAACGCGCGTAGTAGTTCAAGACCTTAATAAACCTGCGCGCCTAACGGTTGTTCCAGATATTCTTGCATGAACTAATTATTGGCAGAAATTATCGGTTCAAATGTTAGTTTTTAATATTACTTACTTTTGCTGTAACAAATAACGTGTAGCGCTGCACTTTCTCGAAGTCGAGAGATCCATTGATGGTTATTTTTCCTAGATGATTGTCGATCGCAAAGATATCCGTCTGCAAAGGATACAAGCTTTGTCAAATAATTCTATATCTAATGAACAAC